AAAAAAACATTTATTTTGTAAAAATACAAGTCTAGAAAAAAATGCTAAATTAAATTCCTCCGTTCATCACAAAGTTTATCAACTAACAAAATAGCTATTCCAAAAATCTGTATATTCGTTGTTCCCGATGCCAAGGAGCCCTTATTTTTTGCCAACCTTGCCTATATTCTATTTTCGCCAATGGTGGACGACAAATTGGGTTATTAGTTTATTTACTGGCTCCGTTTGTCTCATTTTTTTAAACTTTTTTTCCTCCATCTCGTATTAAGACGAGGTTTTAGAAAATTTACCTATGCTTCAAAATTATGAGTGATACACAGTTCCAAACTGCTTAATTGGTTTATTTAAATACGATTTTTTTGTAAAAAGTCGCGATAATTTTTTTGCTACATAGTATTTACAATATTTTTATATGGATCATTAAGGTTCCAGATGTGGTGCAGTTCCATGGACTTGGACACTCAAAACGTTCCGCCTGATGCCTTAATCTGCAGCGAACATTTTTCCGAAAAAGATTTTTGTAACCGGAAGCGGATTCGACTTAACAATGCTGCGGTTCCATTAGAAATAAATGCACCACCACCAATGATTGTGTCCCCAACTCCACCGACATCAAATAATCGAAGACCTCTAGTTCAAATATTACCCAAATTATCAACCTCATCCAGCCCTGTGTCACAACCATCTTTCGGCGTTACTCAGTCAGAGCTTCCTCCTGCCCCTTCTCCAATAACCTCTGATTCTTTTCCAAACTCTACAGCAGCCGATAAAAAAAGAATTCGCCAATTACAACAAAAAGTTCGACGAGCAAAAGCACGAACTGGAGGTGGGAATATTTTGCAAAAATTAGACGAATTGACTGGCGACGAAGACTCATTAAAGAGTATCATCAAATCTCAGCTACACCGATTGACATCTAGGAAAAAGAAGAAACGATTTAGTCAGGAAGAGAAGGTGACAGCATTGACGATTTACTATTCATCAACTAAACGTGGCTATAGGTGAACAAATAACAAATTAATTAATTTTATCCATTCTAATCAAAGATCCGTTATTACATAAGTAATTTTTTGTGAGATTAGGGATTACTGTTATTCCGGGATTAGACTAATCCAAGCTTAATTAAATAACTCAAGTTCCTGGGATTAAAGATTAAAGCTTAATTTACAATACTCTTGGAATTTAAGTATCAATTATTCCTGATTAATTCTTGATTAAAGATTAAGGGTTACTTAATCCTGATTAAATTATCCTGATTAAATTATCCTGGTTACATTATTTGTTAAATTTTTTATTAGGGATTAGTAGTCCATAATCCCAATCGTTAATCCCAATCGTTAATCGGATCTGTAATTCAAATTCGATTGAAGTATGCTTATCATTAACGAAATGTTTAAAAACTTAGGACGCTGCAAAAGTTGGGTCTACGACTTCCTTCGATTTCGACAATCAATCGCTGGCTTCGTAGCTTCACGATCTCCCCCGGAATCAACAATAGCATCGAGTAGATTTTGCTTGATCGAGTTACGAATATGAACGATTACGAACGCGACTGTGTCTTGATGTTTGACGAGATGGCCATCAAGAAATACATAGTTTACGATAAAAATATGGATAATTTACTTGGGATTCAGGATCACGGCGAAGGTGAAAGAATTCTTGTCCCAGCGTCTGAAGCTCTAGTTTTCATGGTGCGAGGCCTGAACACAAATTGGATTCAACCCTACTCATTCTACTTCAGTCAAGCTTCAACCAAATCTCAAGACCTGCGTAGTATATTATTAGATAATATTGACCGTTTATGTAAGATAGGCTTAAAAGTAAGAATTGTAATTTGTGATCAATCGTTTACTAATCAGGGCCTATATCGCATGCTAGGTGTAACGATTGAGGAACCTTACATACATAGAAACAGTCGCAAAATTTACTTTTCTTTTGATTCTCCACACGTTATTAAAAATATTAGAAACCACCTTAAAAAACATGGTTACTTTATAGAAGGTAATCATGTTTTGTGGCAGCATATAGTTGATTTTTACTCCAAAGACATTAGTAGCGAACAAAGACTGGCACCGAAACTTAGTAAATTTCATATAGAAATTCCCGACCTTTCAAAAATGAAAGTGAAATTAGCGACCCAGCTACTTAGCAAGTTGGTTGCGTCTGGAATTAAAACTTTAATTGACTTGCCAGAAGGGAATGATAGAAAAATGACGGAAGACGCAAGACCAACCTCTGACTTTTTACTTGAAATGGACAGTATCTTTGATTTATTAAATACTTCTAGTAGACATGTACCGGGAAAACCGTTAAAATCTGCAAATAACTATTACAAAAATCTAGAGAAATTAAGATCATATCGTAAGTGGGTATCAGAATGGTTGATGTCGGATGGTACCAAAATTGTTGATAGTGTCAAAGGTTTACAATTAACTTTACATTCGCTTGAACTTTTATTAAGTGATTTGCACAATGACGGATACGGTTACGTTTTTACGAGACGAATACAACAAGATATTTTGGAGCATTATTTTTCATATCATAGAGGAAGAAATGGTTTTTGTAAAAATCCTACGGCTAAACAATTTGCGGAAAGTTTCAAGTATTTGTTAATTTGTGACCTCTTAGGTAGCTCGTCAGGTACAAACTGCGAGAAAAGCGAAAAGACAGATTTAGTAAGTCAAAATTGCCACAGGTTTAAGAAAATATTGCAGTTTAGGCGAAAAAGTGTGACACAGCCAGGTACATCAGTACGTACCACTCAGCAAACTTCAGCATCGTCCAGTAGTGAATTTGAGTGTTCCGATGACGAGTATGAAAATGATTTACAAATTCAAAATTACCAAGGTTTTGATTTTTTCGACTTAACTGATTCTCATGAAATTGACCTAAAGGATGACAACGTTACTGTGTACATGGCTAATTGGTGTGTTAAAAGGGTTATTAAAAAATTAATGAAGTTAAAAAATAGTAAATCATGCAGCAGTTGTAGGGAACTTTTAGAAACATTATCGGACAGACAATCTAATGAACTTGACATGACTGAACAACTAACTAAAAATAAAGCTCGGTTTGGAGATTTCTCAACCTTAAGTGGACAAATTCCACAAATACTTTATGGCCACCTAGTTAAAGAGCAAGTGAAAAAAGTTTTCATTAAAATAAATGAAAATTTTAGGAGTGCCATGAAGTTCTATATGAATCCGCAAGGGGAAAATATATCAAAAAATGTGATGATTTGGCTAATGAGGGACTAAGCTATCGATACATGGGCAAATGAAATTTTAGAATGTCGGCTACATAGAATTGAGATGATTAATTTATTTATTAGAGCAAAAATATTTCAATTATTAAAACATAAAAATCAATTAACTTATGTTATGCCTAAAAGCTTTAGCCAAACCCGGCGTCAACTTCGTGATCAATAATTATAGTCACTTAACCTATAATACTATAATCTAAATAAAATATAAATATACAAATAATGCCAGTCTTTAATGTCGTTGCGAGTATTCCTTGCATATACATTTTATTTAATTATTTGCATAACTTTTGAATTCGCACCTTGTATAAGGAGGACGAAGAAAGAAGGAAATAGAAGTTTTCCTGATTTTTATAGCGGCTGAACCAGACAAAATGCATTCATATTGACGAGAGATAATTGATGGAAGAAATTGACCCGCAAATAGCAAAAATCGTTCAGATTATCTTTCAACAAAAATGTAGAAAATCCATCTAGGAGTATTGAAAAGACAGCTATTTAAAAAATAAAAACTTAAAATTGAATTATGTACATATGTATACAAAAATATATGGATGTATGCATACATATGTACATACATACGCATGGATATATGTATGTACATGTATCAGGACAGGTGCATGCATGGATTTGTCCGTAAATATGTATATATAAATAGTATGTGCCAGAAGTTCATTAAGTTTTGAAATTCGTATATTTAGTGTTAAAACTACTTGGAACAAACTACATAAAATCCAAAATTTATTCAGAACCCTTAATGCTTCCACCAGTTCGAAATGCTACTCATGGCTTGTCAGACCCGTTTGCATCCGATTGAGTGAATTATTTTGGAATAATTTGACAAACTCTTTTCTCCTACTTTCTGTGTAATAATCAGACGGCGGATATGTCTGTATTTTTGTCATACCAAATCGGATCGTACTAAAACTTCGTATACTGACAACCCATCTAAGCACGATCGCAAAAATTCAAACATAGTTTACAATATTTTCCATATTTTAGTTTTCGTACATATACGTATTTTAGTACATATGTTGAGGATTTTTCGTACATATACATATTTTCCTGTGTATTTCGAGTATTTTTCTAAATATAAATAATTTTAGTAAATCCCTCGAGATTTTTATGTAAAAATATTTTTCTTCATTTTGAAATTGAACTTGGCTCAAAATTATATTTCATAAATATGTACAAAATTGAAGTTGAAAAACATTGTTTATGTGCATATTAACAGATTTTTTAAGCACATGTCACATACATATTTTGCGAAATTTACATACATATCTGTTCTCTGCTAATAATTTTCAAAATTTCATTCGAATTACTTTGAAACTTTGTACATTTTTTGTGTCATGACCTTGATTATAGTATTGTTATTTGCAGGCAAACCAAAACTTTCCAATCATAAGAGGTTACGGTACATTTGGTGACTTCAGTTTTGAGAGCATTTTCAAAGTTTTTTTCCTCCAAGTAGCGGGTTACAATATATTGCATACTGATACGCTGATAAGCCCGACTAAAATAAGATATCTTCTGTTTTCTGATGCTTATGTATGTACGTAGGGTACAAGTGATATATATCACCAGATGAGATTTAGTGAGATTTAGTGATTTATATCAATCATCTCACTTGGACCTGAGGTGAGAAATATGAGAAATATGAGATTTAATATAAAAACATTCGCTCTGTCTCAAATGAGGCCCCCGCTGAACAAAATAAGAGCGAAAGTTGAATTAAAAAGAGAATCTTTATTTCCTCTCCAATTCATATTGTTAAGCTGGTCTAGACCAAGAGGAGTTAATTGTTTTGGACTCGATTATTTGAGGGTAAGGTTTAATAACTAACAATTAATTAATAGTTGATATTTACATATGTATAATAAAATATTCCACAGTTGGCGATAAAACGACAAGCGACATTCGAAATGGACGAATTTAATATTCAAGTAATTAATTCAATATTAAATGAATGAAAATTAATTCCTTATAATTTTGTTGTATACAAATACTAGGAAGTGGTGAACTGGACGTGTTCAACTGACCGTGACTCCAGGCTAAATTTACTAAAGATTTTAATTAGATGCACCCCCCACGACGAGTTGAAGATAGTGCAAAGATTCGTAGATAATGCTAAGAAGAGGAAATCGGCACATACTAATAAACATTTATCCAAAAAGAAACGACATGCTGTTGGAAAGGAAGTGGTTGGCGTCGTTGCGCAGATGTCGACTACTGTCGCACAAATGCCAACGACACCACCACCAACCTCTTGGTGGGAGGAGGTCGGGATGGATGGATTTGTGTCGTTAATTTGAAAGGTTCCAAAATTTTCCCAAACTCATCCTTTTCCGGAAAAATTCAATAGTTTTGGGAGATTTTGTTATTTTCTTTATTTTCTCGATTTCATGATGCACTTTACTATGACCTAATGTATGGGATAACTTGGTTCCTTTATATGGAGATGGTTCAGATGTGAGCAGTTTTCGTCATCAATGACTGTAAATTTCTCCAAGCATTTACTGTTCAATTTTACGAAACCAGTTTTAGTTGATTTTTCTTGATAATTGAGATGATTGGGGATTTTCTTGTTTGTCACCAATGAAGCCTTTAGTTTATAGGCTTCAATATGGAACACTTTAGAAGGATCCATTTCCAACTATTTCCCAGACTAGCTAACGGATTTGGTAGCATGAGTGGTGAAAGTTGTACAACATAACGTATTCATATATGGAGATTTACTGGGGGTGTGGCCTGAAATGTGTTTCAATTTCACTTTAACAGCTTCCTGATACATTCTACTTGTGTGGTGGTTTGTGAATTTTGAAGTCCTCTCAACATTTAAATTCAGTATTAATAATAGTATCAAACGATCAAAATGCAAAGATGCAAAAAGTCACTGCCTCGAGTAGGGTTCGAACTCGTGACCAAGAAATTGGAGAGAGTATGCACCATCAAGCTGATGTGTGCTGGCGCACAAATGGCGGATCCACCACCACCACTGTGATTGCATCATCTTTTTGATGCAAGGATATGTGGCGATGATGATGCATTTGGCCCACCCCGAATGTACACCGAGTTATTTGGTTGGCTCTCCCTGTTCCTCCATAAGCGGCACTCGAATACATAAGATCGATTCTTCTGTTGGAATCTATATTCTGTGGACCAGCTTCAGCGCAAGCCTTACATATTGCGTAAAAACTTTCGGAACCAACTATGTGGCCTTCATATTGGTACAGTTTTTCGAACATCACCTTATAATTTATTGCATTTTCGAACCCGGGGCGTTTCACCTTCTTGGATGACGTTTCACCTTGATCCATCCCATTTTTGTTTTTTGATTTTGAATGTCTGTTCAATTTTGCTGCTATTTTCCCAACCTGTGTCGAAATAGTCCCTTCCCCGGTGCCCTGATTTTCAGCGGTATCCATTCTTTATAATAAATAACACAATCATCAGGCATATTTCATATATAATGATATAAATGATCTCAAGGTTACGAACTTAGTTAATATTTACCTGATATTACCAATTTCCGATTTCCGCGGGTTAAATGCAGTGACTTTCTCCACTCATTTAAAAAGCATGCAAAATTTTAAACCCAATCATCTTTGTTGATAGTGTTGATACTGTATGAAATTGAGCATTGACGGGCTTTTTGAAATCCAAATGTATCTCTTCACAAAGTGCGGACGTGTGGATTCATTAGTATTAGTTTTGAATGAGATAGTAATCTAAATTATGTGAAAAACAGGCTGCTTTTCAGCGACAAGCAATTTTTCAGATAATTTGCTTCATTCATTCACAATTTGGTATACGTCTGTTCTTTACAACATAAGAAATTTTCACAACTTCGCCTCCCACCAGACCAAGCACACTCCCAGCAGAGAATTTGACAACACTTTCTCCGAGTCATGAAACTACTTTCGTTCCTACTCCTCCACTGGAGACCGACAATTCGCAATGGATCCGTAAGTCTTTCATGCATTCTACTTTTAACATGTATGTATTATTTAGTATAAACCTAAAATTTCAAAGATGTCATCTGGATTGGAGGGTTGATACTATTTGCGCTTCATGGCATTTGGTGTGTAAACAAGAACATCAGGAGATTTCCAACATCAAACGCATACTGCAGGGCAAATAATGAAACAATCTTAATATTAAAAAATTTTCGCTCATGAAAATTGATGATCTAGATGGCTTTTATTTTGGTTCCGCTGGCCTAATGTGCATGTATACAATTTTGTACACCACGCAGATTTGAACGGATTTACAAACATTTCTCGTTGGAGAGAGTTGAGTTTAGTTGCACCAGAGGCCCCTGCTATGTTTCATCTATTAGAAACGAGTAATTGTTTTTTGCAGGTGGATTATGCGGTGCACGCTGCAATTCTGTGGAACTTAGAGTGAACTATTTTTGCAATTTTTCTCCGATTTTCAAAGTTAATGTCTTGGAAACTTGATACCTCTGACAGGGAACAGCACTATTGACAGGGAATTCGGAAGTAAAATGGCTCATTTTTTATAGATGAGCCATAGTTCATTTGTCAGATTACCATCAAACTGTCAATTAGTATGCCAGCCACTGATACCTGAAGTGAGTTTAATTGTACCTTTATTAATGGCCGCTTAATTGAGAATGAAACGATCGACTAGACTCAATTGCCCCCTGACAATTACGATTGTTTTAACGCAATACATAATAATATATGTGAGCTTCAAACGTGGATCAATGAAAACCCAATGAATGGACATGAACACGGATGTAAATTTTGTTAGATGTAACGAATCTTAGTGCAAGTTGAGAATAAACTTCAGTAGTAAGCTGACAAAAGTGCAGAATATTAATGATTATTTATTGACCCGAAAAGGGTGTATTTATTCACACACATCATACAGGGTATGATTCTAATAATATGCGTTTAACAAATTCTTAACTTAATTCTGATTGAACACCAAAGCGGTTACGTAACGGTATTATTGGCTATTAGCTGACCAGCGTTAAATCCTCCAGAAGTGTGAACAATGGCTTGGAGGGAGCGCTGAGTTCATCAAATAACTAACGGGTCGTTGTTCACATGTTAATAAACTTTCTAAAATGTAACCTAAATTAATCATGCTTGCCGACAAATTTCTCAAATTCCAGAGGCATACCTGTAAAAAACAGCTACGTCAGAAAGCAGAAAGTGGCCCTTTTGCAAGTGGTCTAAAAATAGGAGGTGAGGAAACGACCTCCTCGCCGGGCGAAGTCGTGGCGATAGGTGTGTAGCTGGACGTGGCTGTAGGCAGCCTTATCTTCCGGATTTCGTCCTTATGGATACAAATTTAACTGTTGTTTCGAGTGATGACAAAGGCGCAATCAGTATTCTTGATACATGTTACACATTGGAGGTGGGTGCAACATTTCACACCCATGATGAATACAGATATTGCAATGAGCATCTTCATTTTTGGGAAAAAACAGCGAGAGGAGGAGATGGGACTAGAGATGAGAATGAAAATGGATTCTCTGTTTTCGTACTAGATCGTACCTGCTTCCAGTATTATTTGTTATTTTGTGGACGTGACTAACGAGGACTAACAATTTGACAGGACTTTGAGATTGGAGTTGAATGCATTTGATGGGTTTATTTATACGTCATATTTATACGTCAAATGCATAATTTTGACTCGCTGGAATCCATTCTTATGGACTGGTCACGGATTGAAAGTGTCAAGATTCCCCCTGCTTTTTCAAGCACTTAAAAACTAATTTTGGAAATGTAAACGAGCATAAAAGGTGGTAAATTTAATAAGCATTCTAAAACTGGATACAGAATTTGATTATCTCTTTTCGTTAAAAAAATGACAGCTCAAAATTTAGAGGAAGTGGGAAAATTAGTTAATAGTTTGCCATTTATGTGAAAAAGTGATTTTCTCGAATCGGAAAAAGGTTCGTGACCACTTTATCCGTCAAGGGATGTACCGGACAAAATTAATCATGCACTATACAGATATAAGGATCGTGAAAATGCAAAACATAAAATTGGCCCTGTCGACCTGCCCGCCACAAGACCAAAAAACTGAGGAGAAACATGAAAAAACGTTTACAGAAAACCACAACAAATCCGTGAGGGTTGCACCCAGACAACTAAAAATTTCAAAAACCTTTCTTCGCAAGATCATAGCCAATAAGTTTGGCTTCAAAACTTGCAACATTATACATAGCCGCGCTAAAATGCAATGAAGATAAAAAAATCCGGGGCTACAACAATTTGTGGAAAACTTGACGAGAAAATGTTAAAATCGACTCCCAAAAGTTTCCCGTCGTGACCATGAAAACTACTGCCTATTGACCACGAAGCGTCGATCGTATAAAGTTCTGCTCATGTAGAAGTAAAAATGACGTTCGTTCGAAATACAAATTCAAAATCAAGGAAAATTTCCAAGGAAATACATATAATGGCTGACGAACGACAAAAATGGGAGTGTCTCAAATCCATTCGCTTCCACGAAAAATATGAACTTTGAACTTTATTTGAAAAAATCTATCATCAAAAGGTTGACCCTCTCGATCAGAAACAAACGCGTTTTATTTTGTTTTAACATGGGTACTTGCCAAAATAGCGACAGGGTACCATCGAGGGGAAAAACTGATTTCGTCAAGAAAAAGTACAACGGTCCAAACGTACCTCAGTTGCCGTCCATGGAAAGATGATTTTGACCATTAATTTAGAAACATTATGCTCGGAAAAAAATGTGACCCAACAATTTTGAAAAATTTCGGCGGGTTATGGAGAAAATCATCATAGAAAATCATCATAGAAGTTGACGAGACGAGTGGCAAAGCGCTCATGAGAGGTGCTCGACAAAGCCTTCTCTCCACCGGTAGGGAAGGTGTATTTGTACCAATGAAGGATTTAAATACTTCCGTCTGGTCATCGTTAGTTTTGCACAAAAGTTTCATTACATTTGGTTCATGCATTCATTTTTTGCAGGTAAAATAACTTGACCCTTTCAATCAGTGACCAGTCCATAAATATAAATTTAAGGGACCATGAGTAGACAGTGGGTCAGAATTTGCAAAAAAA